ATTCATTCATTCATTCATTCATTCATTCATTCATTCATAATGTCATTGTTGTCGTGGCTATCATCTATTCCCTTGATTATTTCCCCCTTCTAGCGCCTGTTCCGACAACACCGAGTCCAGCTACTACCACTGTGCGGACCAGTCAGAGGACTACTGTCTTTTCCCCAAGCACGTCCTCTTCAAGCACTCCAGCGAAAACATCGGAGTCTGCAGGAGACCAGATATCGTCTGACGACGGTAGGTGGTCATCCAGCAGCCCTAGAGTAAAACTAGCACCCCTAGAGTAAAACTAGCGCCCCTAGAGTAAAACTAGCGCCCCTAGAGTAAAACTAGCGCCCCTAGAGTAAAACTAGCGCCCCTAGAGTAAAACTAGCGCCCCTAGAGTAAAACTAGCGCCCCTAGAGTAAAACTAGCGCCCCTAGAGTAAACCTAGCGCCCCTAGAGTAAGACTAGCGCCCCCTTTGTGTAGCAAAGACCTTAGAGTTATTACGTACAGAAATTAATGTGCCAATCTGTTCTCTCAGATGACGCTGATTACTCAGATTCCTATTATGACTCGGAGCCAGAACCGCCAATTCCAACAACAGAGTCCAACGAAGCTGGTAAGTTGGTGATTTATAAATTACTACCAAAGACAACGTAGTCCTTCTTGTTCAGACCTCTTTTTAGAGTAAAACAAGCACCCCCAGAGTAAACACATTAGAGTCATGTGTTTACTTGATGAAGAATTCAACAAAATTTGGAAAGGTAACTTTGCAAAGGAAATACATAATGATTATCTTCACACAGTTAATAGTGAAGCTTAACAAAGTACTGCTCAGTCTAATTTTTACTTAAATACAAGTGACCAGCTCCTCCAACTCTGTCTTGCCACTTGTTGCATAATATAATCCAGCACTACAGGGTACCTGCTACAGTACCAGTTACCATGGTAACAGCCGTCTGGTACGAGTCATGTTTTTGGTAGTAGAAGAAATGGACCAACAAAGATAGAAATAACATCCTTCTGCTTCATGTTTTCTGTACAGCAACAACGGCAACAAGCAGCAAATCACCGGATGACGTCAGGCAAACGTCATCATATCAGGTTTGCAGCTTTCGAGAACATTTACTAGTTCATCATGGAAGATATGTAGAAGATGAAGATGAAGCTTTGCAAATTTCAGTAAAGTGGTACATTGACTCAATGCTACCCTAAAGACAGTATCGACGGTATTTGTGCAGCATGTTTCTCTCCAAATCCATAGGGTGTTCTTAAAGTTTGTCTTGGTAAGTCAGCTTTAAAGACTATAATTGTCATCACCTCCCAAACATGTGTACTTAACATTGATAACCAGCAATTTCATTTCAAGCAACCACCTTATATTGCTCAATGTGTACTAATATCTGTTGTTCCAATGATCGAAGCCTGTAGAGGTGATGACAACAGCTGCTGAGGAAGAGACAGAGGTACGCACAAAGCTCCTTAATTACAATTAAGGTGTAACAACTTGACAGTTGAAATACGCTTCATGCTTGATTATCAACACAGGTCAAATGCATGTCAACGCAACTTTTGGTACAGAGCAGCAGCCATCATAAAATTCACTGAAGTCTAAATTACAACTGAAGGACTAGCCTAAAGATTCGTGAATAAATAAAAAAAGTAAAAGTACAGAAAACCTTACGTTTTTTAAATATCTATCAATCTATGGCAATCAATCGAGATCTTTATTTACTATCAGATACATATTCATGTACACATACCTATTCATGTACAGATACAGATTCATGTACAGATACAGATTGTCCGAGTATTGACCGTGTCTGTTCCTACACCCCGTGTAAATTATATTTGCAACATCTGTAGCAAGATTTGTATTCGTGTGACAAAAGTAGACATTTATTGCCCGAATAATATCACCGTCATAATCTCGTTTCTTCATCAGTAGTTGGATATCAGATAAATGATGTTAGTCTGGTTCAATGATCACTGCCATATGCACAGATTCCAACAACTTTGAGAACAAAAATGAAACATGTAAACACACACAGATATTGTGCTCCATATAAAAAAAGAAAACATAGTATACAAATACAATCCAGTTCTGATTTTCATCTGAATCCAGTTTTGATAAGTTCTAATTTTGCTAATGACGATACCTGATGGTCATATGCAGGAGGAAAAGGCACTGGGCATGCTCCAGTCCATCACAAGCGCGCTGGATGAGGTCGACATGTCCGACCCGGCAACTCTGGAGTCTGTGGGAGGATGTAAGTACAGGATACACCAGTTCTTGAGTCACAGAGGGAAGATCTTTCTTTCTTTACCAAGAGATGTCATACGAGCAAAGGGTAAACTGGGTAACGGAACAACGAATGAACCAAATATGACTAATAGATTAGCCATATAATCCATTTTAAACAAGCGTATAAGTACTATAAATATGGCCACAACATATTTTGTTACAACATTGTGTTCTTTAATTCTTTCCTTTCAAAGCTATATTGGAGTCCGTTGGCGCACTGCTCGAAGGACCAGAGGAAGATGCGGAAGAGAAACCGGGTGATGATGGCCTCAGTTCTGCCCCCGCGGAGGACGAGAGTCTCTCTCCAGAGGAGCGCCTTCAAAAGGCTGAACAAAAGAAACAAGAGAATGATGCTAAGGTAGGAGTAAGTCATTACGCTTTGCTCAACACCCTCCAACACTGTATCAACTCAATTCAAATGTTTGTTTTACCTGAGCATACATGAATTACTATTGCCATTGACTTGTATGGACAGCTGTGAAATTTAATGAATGTCCCAAGGGTATGCATATGAAAATAGGATCTTTGGAATGAGGTTTCCCTATGTTGTTAATATTATGGTAAATTAAACAACCTTTAGCGAACTGTTAACCATTAGTACACCTGATAATTTCAGATTACAGGAACCACTATTATAGCAACAATAGCTTATCGTCATAGGTAAATAACTGTAATAGTTGTATCACTTTCTTCATTTTACATACAGAGACGCAATATTGTCCAGGAAAGCCGCCGGGTTCTGGAGAAGATGGAAAATGCCATGATCAAGACCCTTAAGCCTGGTGACCCGCCTGTGTCGCTCACAAAAGGCGGAGTCACCCTGAGTGCTCAAAAGATTTTGGGCTCTGAGTTTGGGGGCCAGACCGTGCAGACAGAGGAAGGATGCTTCCAGCTTCCGTCTCAAGCCGCACTTTTCTCCGAATTCGAACATGCGCCGCAAAGTGTCACTGTTAAAGTAGGTGCCAGTGTCCTGCTCTAGTCATCAATGATCCCTTCCCTTCATTTCCATGGTGGCGGGAATATTGAAGTAACGTAAATGATGTAAATCGATTTAAAGCCAGATCGCTGTTTTCTTCAGATAACCTACTGGTATTGTCCTATAGATGTCATTGACCTCTTTTGTTTCAAGGGTAATAATGGTAGTTCCAGTTCTTCCATTCGTCGTGTTTATGACCATGAAATTTATACATACAACATGGGTCTCTTGTCTTTCAGATGAAGCAGTTTGAACAAAACCCGTTCACTTGGGGCTCCGGGGAACACCAGGTCCGGTCATCGGTCGTAGAGCTGTCACTTCAACAGGAGAACAACGAAGTAATGACCTTCCGCAACCTCACCGAGGATTTCATCATCACCATTCCAGGCAATCCCAATAACAAGCCGGCGACAAAGATCATAACCATCCCTTCGGCCGGAAAAAGAAGCGCCAGGTATCATTTCTACAACCTTACCACCATGGCAGAGGGATTCCTGGTCACCATCATACCGTTAAACGCAAGCGTAGTGTACCGCGTGTCGGGTAGACGCGGGGGCCGCCCTGACGACCAGAACTACAACGTGTCCATGGAGACGTACCTTCTTCCCGAGCAGTGTTCCCTAACTAAAAGCCTGAGTGGCGATGAAGGCGACACAGACAAGACAAAGGCAACAATGTTCATCCAAGGGGAGGAGGATCCGGGAGAATACTACGTCAAAGTTCAGGTTCTAGGTCAGCATTTTGCCATTCCCTTTGATGCTACAATGCATTAATGCTTGACATACTAGATAGGATAGGAGGAAGCTGTTTGCACCTAATGACAATGATACATGATGGTTAACATATCTTTTGTTGTGAACAAAAATTAGAAACCGAAAAACCACACCAAGACACTACAATAGTTAGATTTGCCGCCCCTACTTATATAAGGGATTATGTCGAATATGTGTATATGTATTATTTGAACGGAAATCGGGATCTGATAAAAAGAGAATATTTCTATACTTTGACTATATTTTGTAATTGCCTTATTTAGTCAACAGGTACCACTGGAAATATAACAGCCGCCTTTGTAAGCACATGTCTAATTTCTATAAATGCACACTTTTACCACTTACTGATGCTGTTTCCATTTTTCAGGTCCAGTGACCGAGTGTGGCTTCGAAAACAAGTCTGACCCTGGGGATGCCTATGACCTCTTCGCCTACGAGATCCAGTGGGCCCGTCTGAAGTGTCTCTACTGGAACGAGACCCTGGAAGCCTGGATGACAGACGGTTGTGCGGTACGTAACGTCACAGTAACTGTTCTTCCTGTTGGTCCATATTCGGATAGAAACTAAAATTATTGTGTAAGCAGTCCATAGCACAAACGACCTTCATATCTGGAGAAGTAACCGCGAAAATAGCGTCAATGAAAGCACTGCGACCATTTCCAGGTTTACAGTAATATTTAAATGCGAGAGGAACTAAGTCTAAGTAAAATTTAAGTAATATTCAATTAAATATTTAATATTCAAGAATAAAATGTGTCAAAATGTGATAATGACATCACATGTATTTTGCCGTTCCCCACAGATTAGCAACCAGTCTAGTATCAACAGCACCATCTGCCACTGTAACCATCTAACAGCGTTCGGGAGTGACTTCGCCATGCCGCCCAACGCCATGGACTTTGGGAAGTTGGAGTTCAGCGATCAACAGTGCGGTTTCGACAACCGTCTGCGTGGTGTTCCGTTTGTTCGGACTCGCAATGGACCCTTTACAAGTGATCGGGGAATTCAAGAAGAAGGTACATTTATAATTACCCATTGATAAGATGTGCAAATACTAGTGTAGCAAAACATTGAGGCCAGATAATGTATATTATAATATGAGCATTGTCGACATAATGTATTATACCAACACAGATTAACTTTCATGCTCATATGTAATATATAAAGTTGTGTTCATTTTTACTCATTCATTGCTACATGAATTGTGAATACTGAATAAAGGTCAATGTGAAATGAGAATGAGAAACCAATGGGGCCAGATAATGTAAATCGTAACATTCATGACGATTCGATCTTTCTTTCGTGAGTATTTGGAGTACGTGTAATCCCTGAACATTCGTGGTGAACACCACCCGTGTTTATCATACTTACATCCGCAGAACATGGAACTTTATTGCTTTTGCTCCGCGTCTTCTTTGTCCGTTAAAAAGATAAGTTCAATGTTGGTTACTGGTGCTGTAGCAGACACCATGTGATGTAGGGTTACATACGCGAATGCCCGATCCTAAAACTTAAACCCATTCAGTCTTAGAAGCAGATAGGCACGGCACGTTAGTATTTTGATTTAAATGTAGCCTCTGTATGATTCTCTTTCAATTTCACTTTAATACCGAGCACAGCGAAGAAGTCCAGCGTATAACGTTACGTGATGTTTTATTGTTGTTTAGGTTTTTGCACGAGGCAGCCAGGTGACGCTGACCTTCAGCACAGCGGAACATCTGGGTACCGTGGAGCATGAAAACACCACGACTACCAAAAATTGGGCCACGTTCTACCATGAATGTGTCTTTGTCGCATGAAAACTGATTAACTTGTATGTGTGTACTTGACTGCTATGGGACCGGTGAGTGAGTGAGTGAGTGAGTGAGTGAGTGAGTGAGTGAGTGAGTGAGTGAGTGAGTGAGTGTGTGTGTGTGTGTGCGAACGTGCGTGTGTTCTCATAAATGCGTACGTACGTGTGTGTGTACAGGTGTGCGTGCGTGCGTGTACAACATGTATGTGTGTTTGTGTGTATATGTTTGTGTGTGGGTGCATGTGAGCGTGCGTCGGTGTGTACGTGTTTGTCTGTGCTTGCGTTCCTGTGTATATGCGTGTGTTCGTGCGTGTGTGCGTGTGTGTGTGTGTGTGCGAGTGTGTGTATTCGTGCGTGTGTGTGAATGTCTGTGCGCGCGCGCGCGCGAGCATGCGTGTGTGTGTGCGCGTTTGAGTCTTTGAGCAGCATAACTCGAGAAGACAATGATGAATTATAAATGACAATCATATTTGGCACATGGGTAGAATTTGGTAAGAGGAACAAACGATTCGATTTTGGACCCCCTTTCGACTTTCCTTGGTATTGCAGCAGTGATCTGGACATGCTTGTTGTATATGTGATGATTCACTTTGTACTCAATGACTACAAAACAAAAGCAGTTAATGGAATACATTGCCAGATTTTTGAACAGAATCTGAAAAAAATCTTCGACATTCAGCATTGCATTCTTGAGTAGTAACAGTTATTTCGAGAAAACACTATCATAAGCATATGTATAGATTTATTTGAAGTTGTTTGTGTCTTAACTTATCAATTGTTGCATGCATGTATTATTATTATATTATTATTAGGATATGTATAAAGTTGTGACGAGAAGGCTAAAACTTTATGTCAAACGTTAAGTAAGAATTTGGACTTACCAAAATTTTCAGTTGACTCGGTCAGCCTTGTTTATGGATTGTATACTGCAGCTTCCGGGACGTGACGTTGGAAACACGTGATTGCAGCAGAGGGCCAGACGTGTCAGATAACCTGTGTCGCCCCCCGTCTCTGTTTAGTGTCGGACGTTTGGCCCTAATATACACAGCCTCCTTCACTCCTCTTGAAATGAAATCCGGTTCTGAGTCCAGAATTTTCACTTTGTCCAGTGAGACGGAGTGTCCTGGAGATTCTATGTGTATATGTCTAAATTGGCGGAGCTTAGTCGTTAGTGTTCATCTGTTTTACCAATGTATGTTACTTTACGCTGACCCTTGTTTGTTTCACCATGGCAAGAGATGTGGACATAAATTTTTAGCCTTTTCGTCATAATGTATTATACCAACACAGATGAACTTTCATGCTAGTAATATGTAGTATATAAAGTTGTGTTCATGTCTACTCATTTATTGTAAGATGAATTAGTATACTGAATAAAGATAGATGTGCGATAAAAATAAAAAAGCAGTGGGGATAGATGATTTATATTAGTATTATCATATGTATCAAGTCAGGTTACTTAAAGTTCTCAGTTTGTGTAAGGCGTCCCACGGTGCCAGTTTACTGATTTTTCAGGTCCTTTCGGAAAAATGCCATAACTCAGCCGAGTTATGACCCTTCCTAAAAGAAGGATCCTTCGTAGGATGTACGTCATACTGGAGGTAACTTACATATATAGCTTCTGGGTGTACATCATACTGGAGGTATCTTACATATATAGCTTCTGGGTGTTATGGGGCCAGATTTAGATCAAAGTTACAGCAAGGAGCGATAAATAGTTGTTTTGTTTGATTATGCAAGCCCGACATGAGTTCTACTCTTGATCAGCCTATTGGTAACAGAAGAGAGGCTCCACAGGATGGAATTAGCGCGCTAATCAAATGCAAAACAGCAGGCGGGGCAGAGGCAGTGGGTTATCACTCAAACTTTTGCATATTTACAATCATCCAGGCTGGAGTTAGCTCATTACAATATTACAGTAGCTTATTATCATATTAAAATGAGATCTTTCCTGGGGTATCCTGTGGGACGCCTTACACCAACAGAGTTGTTTGTGTCTGCATGTCAATCTTACATGTATTATCATACTGTCTGAATAAAGTTTGATGTGAAAAATCATTTTCTTTGTTTTATTCGATGTTATGCATGTAGGTAAATGCCTCATTATGCCAGAAGGTACCAAGCATTTTTATTGGAATTTCCTTTCTTTACTGTAGGGTAGCCCCGACCAGGGGTGAGTGACTGCATTTGTGTTAGCGTAAAAAAGAACAGTGCAAAAAAAGCACAATAAAAAAAGCCCCAAAACACGTCAAAAAAAAGCCAAAACTTAAACCTCTGCTTGGAGAGTACACTGTAGGCCTCTCTATTTTCATATTCATCATGCCGTATAGTCCGCCCGCTCTCCCAGACAATAATAAGACTTCCCCACGTGTTAATTTGCTCTGTTGCGTGGGTCAACAGAAGTCCTTCATCCGATCCGTGTTATAGTATGGCTCCCTCGGATAGTCCGGTGTCACAGCGTTCTTGCCCCCCCCCCCGCGATTTCGCCCTTCAGTGCGGGGTGAATCGCTAGTGATTTCGCCCCGCCTCCGTAGATCTCGCCCCCCCCCCTCTCGCCTCTTAAGCTGCGGTCACAACCCGCCGTACGTGCTTTTTGTCCGTACATTTTTTTGGGAGGCTACGTCTGCTACGTTTTTTTCTGAAAACGCGGGGAAGGAGTGGCGTTGACGCACGTCACTCGCAGGTCAATTGCACGGTTGCGCAAGGTGTAAGAGTGTGGTCTGCACGCTAAGTCTGGCCGTGAGCGCTTGCGCTTGCTGTGCGATTGCAACTTAACCGTAAGGAGGCCGTACTCACACGTGCTTCTTCCGCACGGCACGTACGGGGCACATGCGTCGCTCGTACTCGCACGCACGGGTGGTGAATCCGCAGACCGCACGTAGAAAAAAGTTTTACATGCACTTAAAGTTCTACGGCGTGTCTGCGTGCTCCCAAATCCGTAGGATTCCGTACAGAGGCGGTACTCACCACGCTCGGATGCCCTACGTTTGCCCACGTTTTTGTACGTAGACAGCACGCAGAAGCACGAACGGCGGGTTGTGATCGTAGCTTTAGTTAGTCTACTCTTTTACACCGTACCACAGGTACCGGTATGGCAGTCACACAAATTTGATGAACAATTATAACGACATTATTATTACCGGATCTTGTCTCTTTCTATGCTTCGAACAGCATAGGCATCTCAACAACGCAGGATTTGAGCTGATCATTGGTAAAATAGTTTTGAGAGTGTTAACTTACAACATGATTCTCCAAATACAGCGAAATACTATTATCAGAATTAATTAAAAAAATGTATGTACTTGGACATGCTTAAACGGAAGCTTTCTAGGAGATAACTGATTTTTTGGTGGGGGGGGGGGGGCGAAATCGCTAAAGAGGCCGAGATGGGGGGACCAAATCACTAGAGGGGAGGGCGAAATCGCTAGAAATTTCGACCCGGGGAGGACAATTAAATTCGCTAGAGATTTCGTCCCGGGGAGGGCGAAATGACTGGGGGGGCGAGATCGTTGTGACACCGGTCCCCAGTTTGGGCCTGTGTATTGCAATCTGATGTGTATTGTACATGTATATAACATCGCAATTTTATAACAATGTAATCATTAATATGTTTTTAATCTATGCTTCTTTAATGATGTATGATGATGATTTGTAAATGATGATGATTTGTAAAATGTCAGCGTAATTCAGACGTGTCTGAAGCAATTCGGCACGTCTGCCATGTTGATTTTAAATAAAAGATTTGATCCCCACGTACCACGCACAGCCCCAGGCGCGACAAAGAAAGTCATGGCGACTACAACAAACGTCTAGTACTTCGGCGGCCCCATAGTGTTACTCGATTCTTCTGCAGTCCTTCACATTCAAGACGCCAGAGGGCGCCCCTCCTCCAACCACTGACGGCGTCCTTGGTACAACGTTGGCCCCGCACATGTTCAAGCTCTTTCCGATCCCGCTTTAGTCTTTTTTGCGACGCCTCAGGGGCAGAGCCATTAGTAAACAACTGCGATTGAGTTGAAAATATTCTACAAATTCCTCGAATGCAGCCCAAGGGAATTAAATTTTGTCAACAAGCTTAAGATAACCCAAGAATGACTGGATGTATTGGTTTCATACTTAGTGCGTCGACAAGATCTGGAAATGATAAGAGTTTGGGCCCCCTAGTGGCTTTCTTGGTACTGCAGTGGAACTTCCGGTTTTAATATCTCGTGTTCCGGAGATGCTAGGGTCATGAATTTGGGATGGAGGTAGCTCT